ATGCATAAAAGGCATCTAGAGTACTCCTAGATACCCTTACAGCGAGCGATGATGTACTACTGTAGATGTATTAATACTACATATAGAGTAGCTGTCACGTGTACTCGGGCATCTCCTGCTTTCGTGGCACCACCGCACGTTTCGGGCATTCGGTGGGACATCGTTGAGCGGTTCTGGTCCAGCCGCGTCTGTTTACCTAGAAGCCTGCACGGCAATGTCATGTGATGCCGGCCAAGCAGCAGTTTGGGTAGTTGCTCGTAGTAGGATCGCGTGACGCGACAGTAGGAGATGAAATGCAGGCATGTGGGGCCCGGAGTGACCTGTGCGGGGCTCTCACCATAGAATCTCGAGTCCACACGTGGCAGTGTGTCTTGTATCCATAGACGTCGAGGTTTGTCTACACGATGGATTGGAGGCAGTGCTTGCAGCGAACTTCAACTGACCACTTCAACTTCTCACTTCAACTCACTATGGTACCCGTTTGAGGTCAACCTGCCCTTCCTTTCCTTCGGTTGCAGTGAGTTGACTGCGACCAACGTCGAGAGACTATGGCCGTGGTTGGTATCCAAGACTCGGCTCCCAGGCCCCACGATTCCAGACTGTCGTGGAATGAGATTTCTAACACTATACCGGTACTCGAGGCTTAGCCGCCACAATGCCCCTCACCGCAATACACGTCCAGCGTGGCGAGCGGTGCAGCACCAACACGAATTCCCTCGAGGATACAATTCGTCGACGAGCGTAATCTACGCGTTCTTCCTCATGAAGGACCAGACTCACTGGGCCTGCAGTAATCGGGACTTCCCGCATACAACACTTTTGCATCCTTCTCATGGAGCTCGGTGGAGCCGCTCCTTCCCCGAAATGCCCCTGCACCGAGCTGATTACGTCTTGAGCACCTCTCGATGTGGCCCCCATCCAGCACCAAAAGCCGAGGAACTCGCGCCGACAACAGCAAGTTGCCTTTTTCATCGCAGCTGTTTCTGCGATCGATCTGCTTGCCCTCGTCTTTCGAGTTGTCAAAAGTGCAGGTTTATGGATACTTTCGAGACTCCGATACAAGTTCGTGTATCCTATGTTGGCGATCTTCAGCAGTTATCGCACCTGTTTTCAGGCCTACTCCGCCTGTCGATCAGCGAGCTGCCAAACTTTTCACCACGCTTTGCCTTACGCAGCGATGGCGGCAATGTTATTGTTCTCGCTAAGAAAAAAATCTGCCATATCTTCATCATTA